CTTCCAACTAAAATTAGCATCCTGTACGTCTAAATCTCCCATTTCGACATCATACTGGCGTTTAATTTTATTTTATTTAAATGACATTTTCTTTATGCTGACAATATAATCGTCCCGGAGTGGAACACCCTGCATATCAGGTCAATGTATATATTTACTGTTCCGTATAAAAATAAAAAATATTTTGACTTTACTTTCTTGAAGGAATTTGCAACATGCTTTGCATCATGCAAGGTAAAAGGCACCTCCTGTGGCAAGACTTCGTTACTCGTCTGAAATTGAGCGTAATTAAGAATATATTTAATCCAAGAAGCACTTTTGTGGTTTTTATAATTATTCTTTCGTGGGGATGGAGGGAAGGGTTGTAAACTAGATACGTTAAGAATAGGAACTTTTAAGAATAATTTATTGAACAAATAAACTTAGTTTATCAACATTGTCTAATTTATCTTAAGTGCCCACAACAAACGTGTCTTACTTGCTAAACATTTGTACAATTGCATAAATAAGAAAATACTAATAAGTAAAAAAATAATTAGCAGTGCAATTTGAGGAATGGTTCGTGACGGCTACTACATTGGTTTTCGTATTTATCATTTTTTTTTTTCGGTCTTTTTCTCACTTTACAATTTTTTTAACAATTTACTGCATTTTTATTTTTTATTATTAATTATTATCTCTTTAAGGGATTAGATTAAGGAGCACAATAACATACACGGTCTCTATTTCTTGAATGTAAGCAAATCTATGTAAAGGACGTTATGTATTTGTTCTTTCTTTCTTTCTTTCTTCATTTTGCAATATGCAAAAACTTCATTATTGTTAGGTATTATATTTACCTACTATTATTTGGTATCAACAAAAAATTTCTAACAAGAATAATATATTCTAATATTGTAGCAAATGTATTGTAGTAAGTAAGCAACATAGAAAACTATTCAAAATTACATTTTGAGAGTGTATTCATTTTTGGAATAGCACAATATAATATCTGATTTAAAACCCAAAAACATTATTTTTACAGAAATTCTGTATCATTAATAACTGTAAAACAACCTGTAAAAAAAGCTATAACGTATGTATATGTAAAATGTCTACCGGGGGTCTAATATCGACATAGAAAAATCTCGTGAAAAATATATATGTTATACAATTCATAATATGTAGTTATTAGTTAGCTACCATCAATTAATTAATCACATGCTTACTAAAAAGATCTTTTTTGTGAGAGGCATGACGAAAAAAAATATTAAATAATCTGATTCAAAAAGATATACAACTACATATTGTACACACATAGTATGTTATCGATTTTAAGAAAGTGTTTTTATAATTAGGTAATAATACAAGCAGTATGCTATCCTGAACATTCGTTGTTGGATTTCAAATTTTGCTTTTTAAAAGCCATAGCAAGCAAAAACCTTCAGAGATATCTTTGTAATAAATAAATGCCGTTAAAATACTACTATTCTGAATGTTTCAAAACCCCCACAATAAGTCGGAGAGAAAAAAATGTTAAGAACAGAAAACATTTTGTTTCTCTCAATTAACTTGGAGACCTGAAACTTTCAAAATTTTAGTACCTTGACCACCCACCTTATGGCCTTAAGTTTATTTATTTTGAATCGTNGGAGTATTCATGGAATCGGTGCACCCGTACACCCCAGAAATTTGTTTACAATTAATTTCAAGTGTCTTAAAATAAACCAGTAATTATAGAATATTTCTGCTAATTATTCTGCGATGATGGCAACCCCTTGGGTACAGATTTAAAAGATAAATAGTGCAAATAACAATTAATCTCCATGTAAGATTTATTGCACCCTTTCGAGACACATTACAGATGTCAATAAAAAAAGAATGAGATATGCCAGTTCTATTACACGTTATGATACTTAAAATACCTATATTTATTTTAGAAAGAGGAGACTGTGGTAAATATTAATTAAAAATTAAAAGGAATACTCACCCCTAATTACCACAAATAATTTTATCTCGCATTGATAATGCCCACGTATGAAGTGGGCGAAATACGTGTCCGCTCAAATAAAATTATTTGTGGTAATTAGGGGTGAGTATTCCTTTTAATTTTTAACCTATATTTATTGTTTGAAAAATAATTAAAAATATTTACCATTGTATCATTCCACCACATGTGCAGTCTGTAGTTCCTTAAAATGGTATCGTGCTCGTTCACATGGTCTAAAGCCAGTTTCACGCTGGGCATTACCCCACGACCTTAAATTAATATTGCATTTTAACAATACAAAACAAAACAATTACTTTTTTAAATCTAAACAGTTGGTAAATAACGGTAGATTTAACAATATGAAAAAACAAAAACAGAATGCCTTGTTACAATGACACTTGTTGCAAGTTGTAACTAAACTTATTGTATTGTTGTAAGTAGATCCATCAATTGTAAGTACCTAAGTATTTTATTTACTAAAAACAGGATAATTCATTTAAATAGTTGTTTAAAGAAATCTGTGTAGTACTATAAACCCTTACATATAGTTAAGTAGCAAAAATTCCCCCTCTTATAAATAGTCCCCACCCTTTTCGAAAAATGTAATCTTCATTATTGCAACAAATTTGAATTTAGTTGACTTCTAAATATTGACGGTTATACATTTCTCAGAAAGTTTATAAAATTCAAATTTGGTTATTGAGTGATTTTTTAAGAAGGAAATTCTAACATAAATGTAAGTACCTAATTTTTAAATAAGTACATATAATTCATTCAGATTTGTGAAGTAGAAAATGTAGCCAAACTAACCAATAATCGAATTTAAAACTTTATAATTCATACAAAAACTCAAATGTAGAATAAAAAATTTTACCTGTTTGTGAATTTTCAACTCCTCGACCAAAAGGGAAAAAACCTGCTACGTAAACATCATGTTTTCTATTTTCGGTGTTTGGTTTTTGTAGTTTACACTTATGAAATAGTAATACAATTATTACGAACACTTTGCCAATGAAATGCTTCATTTTTAATATTTAAATCACAACCGTATATTAAACGAACGGTGCCCCACTTATTTATCTATTATATTTCCGTTATTATTGCGATCGACTACTGTATAAATTTGTTAAAAATCATATTTTCCAAAGTTCCATAACAATTAATGCTTTTTTGTTAAGGAAAGATGCACCCTTTATGTCGTTTCTCACCATTTTTATCAGATAACGTGTAAATTTTATTGTGGCACCCGTGCGTTGAGGTTTACAACCCCCAGCTTTATTGATTTTTGCGTGAAGAGAAATAAGCTTTTACCCTTTGCGCATAGGAAGTGTTTACATTTATTTTTTTACGTATAAATATTTTTTTTTTTAATTGTAATTCGCTAATCAGTTGCGAATATCCGAGCTTTTTAAAAAAGGCGCGTTAATTTATTCATTTGTTATGCAACCCAATTTACGTTTGTTCGTTAAATTTTGAATTCACTGACACAGATCCTGTGGGGTGGCTGTGATCGCAACAATGTTTTCCGTCAAATAAAGCAATTCCTAATTAATAATTTTGTTAGTCGATATAAAAATGTGTCTTAATATGTTCGAAAAGAAATATAAATTCGCGAGTGAATATCAGAGCGGATTAACCTCAAATATAAAAAACGTAAATGTATAATACAAGGAGTTGCGCCAAAAGACGTTCTCTTAATGCCGGGAAAATTCCTCATTCGTTCAATAAACCCACCGAACTGAAGAAACAGAATAAGGTTAAGAAAGGCTCTCGACTTTTGGGCGCCTTTAATTACAATAAACCCTTTCAAAAAAGCGCCAGAAAGGGCAATATTGGATGCAATCTCACATCGCAGAAGTCTCCTGTTAGTGCTAGTTATTACTTACCATTACCATTAACAAAACAAACAAGGACTTGCCATAATCAGCTGATATTGTTGTAGGTTTCCTCTTCATTTTTTACTAGAGGCTTCAAATCACTAGTGGCTCGAAAGAATAAGGCAGCAGGTCAGTTAGAACTTTGATTGTATTTCTTTCGTATACTTTATCATTTATGCAATAGTAGTGAGTGTTTGTAGACTTTTTTGTAGTAGAATCTTTACAATTGCTTCTAAAGCATTTAATATGTATCATTAAATTTAATATATAAGGGTAGGTACATAGATTTTTTTATTTAGTTCTTTGTTTATCGTTAATTTTTGTTATTTAATGGCACCATTAGGTTGTAATTTATTCAATTAATTTTTTGGAAAACATTACACTTTTATTTCACACAAACACCACCCTTTTCGATACCTTGGTGCAGTTACTTATTTTTATTAAAAGTGTTTTGTCACTGCAGTGTGCATTGTTGTTTCTTACGGGTACAATATTTTATCATACTTTGGGTTACAATTTTGTTTTACTTTTATATTGTTCAGTACAAGAGATCTTTTATGTTTAATAGAGAATTTTCATGTGGTAAAAACATTATTTAAACTTTAACTTTTTAAAATCAATAACATGTAGAGTTACGTTTGTGATTTACAATTTATCTGTCTGTTTTCCTTTTTATAAATGTCGTAAAAATAGATAATTTTGAATTTAGACAAAACACTTTTAATAAATGTTATGGTTTCATATCGTGTTTTGCCTTATTATTATAAAAAATATCCATTTTTGAGGACATCGTTTTTACACGATTACTATTTCAGGTCAAACGAACGAGTTTAACGAAAAATACGACAAAATATTAAACGAAAATCTTGAAGGTCTTTTGCAGTCTGCCGAAAACCTTAACGACATAAACTTCGAAGAAATTTACGACCCTACGAGACCACAGCTATCGGCACATTTCGTTAATTTGTTTAATAAAAACCAGGACAATAACAAGGAAGGTGAAATTTTAAGGGACTGCTTTTCAAAGATACTTTCTGTTGCTGAGGAACATCAAGAAACAGAAAACTGTAATGAAAGTGTCTTCAAAGAAATCAACTACAAATACGATGAGTTGCGTTTAGAAAATAATACACAAAGTGATCCTGAGGAAAGTTTTGCCGAGGAAGCGGAATTATATTCAAGGAACAATACAGTAAACGCTGATTTTTGTAGATTACTACAGTCACAATTGGTGGGTTTTGAAGGAGACTCTGCAGTGTCAAGAACGATTTCAAAAATACAGCTTATTCTAGACAGTTTACAGTCTAACAACGAAGAGGAAACATCAAAAATGACCGAACTGAATAAACAATTGGTTAACAAATGCAACTGTGATGAGGCGTCCGAAGACAACGCGAATCTCCAACTGGTTCCACCCTCTTCGTGGGTCTTTCGCACTCCCAATGACCAGAAATTAAAGCAATTGCCTGCTGATGAGCCCATTTTAGACTTACTAAAACCCGCAATATTACAAACAAGTGATGAAACGAAAGTCTTGTACGAAATCGACGAAAACGTAGTCAAACACGTAAACCTCGAAAACTACGTGGGACAAAAACGCATGGTTCCTATAAATCCCTACATGACAAAACAGGTGTGCGAGGTAAATTTATCGACAGACGATCACGAAGACGAAAAGTTCGTGTCTTGCAAGAACAAGGACAGCTGGCAGGACATAATAAAGAATTACCACGACGATACATTGTCTTTTAAGATGCCTCTGAGCAAGCCCCATGGCGTGCATCGTGCAGTCTTCAGAGACACCACAAATTTAGTCAGAGAAGTCACCGATCCAAATAAACGGCATTCCGCTGGGTTCCCCCGGTTCGTGACCGATAATGTAGCGTCATCTAGCGGCGCAAGTAACAAAGTTTCTCCCTATAGTAGCAGCAACAAAAAGGAAAATAGTCGTCCGTTTTACACACAACGCCCGATAAAAACAATCAAAAAGTCGTGTAGGTCATTCAAGAAACCTCCGAAAAAGTTAACATTCGACTTTGAGAGCAAACGGCAAAAGTTGTCCCTGTTCGACAACGACAAATCCCCTGACGTGTACAATCTGGACGAGAGTCAGGAAGCTTTCAATGAAAGTTTCACATTTATTAAAACGGACGCGGGAGCTGCAATGGACATAGACTGTTCCTTAACCGAAAACTATTATGGAAATAACGCGACAGTAACAGCAAGTCCTTTGGATGTGGAAATGGACACGGCGGGGGCCAATTATGCAACCGGTGGTGGCGCCAATTTGTACGCGTCCGAAGTCTCTTACAACTTGAACGAACACTTTCTCAATAACTACTCAAAAATAACCGAAACTCCAACGTTTAAACTCTATCCCAGACAGAATTATGACGCTGAATGAATTATGTGTGTGATTCAGGTATATTTGTGTAGTTAGTACGAAGAGGCAAATTGGTTCGGTTAATAGTACAATATTATTGTACATAATAACTGCAGCGTATGGTGCAATTGATTTGATTAATTAATTAACGAGAAGAACAGAACAAAAATGGTACCAGTGATAGTTTGTTTGTTGGTGGGACAACTTTTCTAGATGGACAAGTACGGGTATGTACTTCGTATCTCTGCTGCTTCTGAACCAATCACTAATGAATATTGTGATACCTACACACACGACACATGATATTGTATCAATTGTTAAGTGTTATTAGCTTATTTTAAAGAATTCACGAACTGTTTGTTCATTTTCGTTTTCTTTGTTTTTCTTTCACTTGTTGAACAAGCATTCTTTCGTCAAGTCATCATTACCTTGTGGTAAATAATAATATACGTGTGATATTAGGAAAAAATCCAATTTTTTAAAGTAAGTTGTAGGTTTACAAATAGTCGATAAGCAATTTTCTTTGTAACGACTGCAATCCAACATTTAATTATGTATAAATTGCTTCTCTCCAATGATTCCTTCGTTAGAATTAACGCTATCGTAATAAATTTTTGGGTACACAGTTATTTTTAAGTTAATTTGTATTAGGCTTTCATTTTTCTGTCGATGAAATTTGTGCAATTGTGTTCCTTTTCATTATTTACATGGCAAAATTCTGACATTCACGATACATTTATTACACTGTACTCGCTGTGTTTGGCTTGGGAGGGTGTACTGAAAAAAATTGATTCTAAATTGTTTTGAAGACAAAATAATTATTTTATAAATAGTTTTGTACTTAAACAGTAACAATACGTACGTACGATTTGATTACAATATTCTCTTTTTTAATTTATGGCTGAAATTAATATAGGTACTGTTTTTATTTTTCACGTTGTATGTTATACATGATTGAGAAACTGAAGTAACCTCCTCAGAATTGCAATATTTTTTGATAAATTAGACTTATACATACATGAGACGAACTATTTCTTGTTGTTATATTATTATGTAATATTTTTAATAAAAACAATGTACATATACGTAACATTTTTTTTAATTGACTTGTCCTACAGTACTCTTCCAACTAAAATTAGCATCCTGTACGTCTAAATCTCCCATTTCGACATCATACTGGCGTTTAATTTTATTTTATTTAAATGACATTTTCTTTATGCTGACAATATAATCGTCCCGGAGTGGAACACCCTGCATATCAGGTCAATGTATATATTTACTGTTCCGTATAAAAATAAAAAATATTTTGACTTTACTTTCTTGAAGGAATTTGCAACATGCTTTGCATCATGCAAGGTAAAAGGCACCTCCTGTGGCAAGACTTCGTTACTCGTCTGAAATTGAGCGTAATTAAGAATATATTTAATCCAAGAAGCACTTTTGTGGTTTTTATAATTATTCTTTCGTGGGGATGGAGGGAAGGGTTGTAAACTAGATACGTTAAGAATAGGAACTTTTAAGAATAATTTATTGAACAAATAAACTTAGTTTATCAACATTGTCTAATTTATCTTAAGTGCCCACAACAAACGTGTCTTACTTGCTAAACATTTGTACAATTGCATAAATAAGAAAATACTAATAAGTAAAAAAATAATTAGCAGTGCAATTTGAGGAATGGTTCGTGACGGCTACTACATTGGTTTTCGTATTTATCATTTTTTTTTTTCGGTCTTTTTCTCACTTTACAATTTTTTTAACAATTTACTGCATTTTTATTTTTTATTATTAATTATTATCTCTTTAAGGGATTAGATTAAGGAGCACAATAACATACACGGTCTCTATTTCTTGAATGTAAGCAAATCTATGTAAAGGACGTTATGTATTTGTTCTTTCTTTCTTTCTTTCTTCATTTTGCAATATGCAAAAACTTCATTATTGTTAGGTATTATATTTACCTACTATTATTTGGTATCAACAAAAAATTTCTAACAAGAATAATATATTCTAATATTGTAGCAAATGTATTGTAGTAAGTAAGCAACATAGAAAACTATTCAAAATTACATTTTGAGAGTGTATTCATTTTTGGAATAGCACAATATAATATCTGATTTAAAACCCAAAAACATTATTTTTACAGAAATTCTGTATCATTAATAACTGTAAAACAACCTGTAAAAAAAGCTATAACGTATGTATATGTAAAATGTCTACCGGGGGTCTAATATCGACATAGAAAAATCTCGTGAAAAATATATATGTTATACAATTCATAATATGTAGTTATTAGTTAGCTACCATCAATTAATTAATCACATGCTTACTAAAAAGATCTTTTTTGTGAGAGGCATGACGAAAAAAAATATTAAATAATCTGATTCAAAAAGATATACAACTACATATTGTACACACATAGTATGTTATCGATTTTAAGAAAGTGTTTTTATAATTAGGTAATAATACAAGCAGTATGCTATCCTGAACATTC